AGAAACAAATATTTTCATATTACGTGATTCTATACACCGTTCTGTTAACAACACAAACAGCCCGCGAACAAACAAAGAATTATTATTACGTATCACGGCCGGATGATTGCAAACCAACCAAGAAACCACGCTCTTGCTACCAGATATTACGGCCTGGAGTTACCCTGACGAAAGTCTTTGAACCAGAGCCCGAAGTAGTCCAAATAGACGGGTAACAAAAGGTCGAGCCCAAAATGGCTTATGGCTAATTAAACTTTAGCGGTTAGGAGTACAAATATAAAACTTACCGGCTTCCAGACGTGTAGGATCTGCCACGAGGTGGCGTCAGGGGCTAGTAGATGTTTGTTATTGTCTGGTGTGTGAGGTGTAAAATGTAACCTGACGTCACCAGTAGGAGACAGCTGCAACACGATGACCGCTCCCCCATACGTTCTCGATATCGTAAAACAAGTCCAACGCTTCACACGACAACAGGAGTCTTATCACGCCTTAACGAAACACTAACCGAGCGCACCGTATGCCCGTCGCAATCAATACTCAAATGTGATTTTATAATTATAATTTAAATTTCGTTTCCAAGAACGCAAACAAACTATGAAAACCGTAAGGTTCGCGAAGTATAATCGTCTGGGCTGCGAGGCGGCAATTATATTAACAAACGCGCAACTACACAGCTCCACTGCTAGCTAACCAAGAAGGACGATACTCGCCGGCGCGGCCGTCTGCCGCACCTGTCCGCACCCCCGCACACCACGGCTCCGCCGTCAGGCCGGTTTCCCGCTCGAAAACGCGCGCCGACGCAGGTTGCAAAACGTTCAAATTAGGCCTAAACACAAATGTTATACGTGGTAGAGTCATGCTGCACATAAATTAGTAGTATAGTTGTAGCATGAATGAGTCGGCTCGACCTGGGTAGGACCACGCTCTCACAGTATTCCAGCGTGAAATAGCAGCTTTTTCCTGATCATAACATTTCACATAACAAAAACCTGCAGTTATTAAACCCGTGCGCCAAACGTGGCAATTATGGCACATATCTACTTTGTGAAGCAATCTATGAGGTAGGCCTATTTTCAGCAGTGGACTGTTGATGGACTCGGGTGATTGTGAATAGAATAGAATCATTTTTATTTAATATGGATTATAGGAATACTTAATAAATGTTATACTGCTTTTTTGGATATAAAGCGCCGTCTTGAGAAGAACTAACAAGAATATACCGAGAGACCGCCCTAGAAACCGTCACTGCGGGCGATAAAAATCTGGAAATCAAACTGTGTGGCCTAAACGCGTCCTTCCGACGTCATCCTGAGCTGGAGCATTACTGAGGGGGCGGATGTGTGGTTGAAAGTAAGAATAGGATTAGAAGGTGAAGGTTGCAGCTTTGATATTAATTGGTGTGGTCGGGTGGTAAAGTCCGATATATCGGTTGAGTCGAGAGCTGCGGCCTGGAAGAACTAGCAAGCTTAATTTAAAGGCTCTCCGTAAACCTATTCGGCAGATGAGGTTTAAAATCATCCTTAAATGCGCTACTGATATATTGGGTACAATAACGCCCTTTTTCCCTTGGAGCACCTGGCGCCATTTTATTGTATTTAAGTCGCCTTACCGCCACATGCCGACTCTGTGTTAGCGTACTTTTACTTCCAAGCATGGTCGTGGGAATAGTATGGAAAAATCAAATCAAAATAATAAATAAACAAGGAGACATGACAGCAGAGAGATTCGGACTGACGAACGTAGCAGTAGAACAGGTAAAATGCGACGAAGTGATCAACAAAGAAGATCGTTTACGCTGCGCATAATTAAAGCTAAGTTCACAGTAGCGACGGAGATTACCAGAGGAGTTAAGGACTTTCATCAGTCGAGTCCGCGGTTGGGAGCGACTAGATCGGTGCTACCGATGCTATGATTTGAGCCGAGCCAATTTGCGGGTTCATGCTGCCATCTCTGTGCAGCGGTAGGGAACGGGTGATCCTCAGATCACGTGATGGGCTCTGGACGTTGTGCGTTCTATCGGGAGGTACTTCAAAAGAAAAGAGAGTTGACAATCTCGAAAGAGTCTTTCGCCAACTGAAGGGAGAAATCGTGATAGGTGGTGACTTTAATGCAAAGTCCATCGAATGGGACATGGAATATAGCGATACACGGAGAAGTGACCTCCTGGATATGATAGCAAGTCTTGACTTGGTTATTGTAAACAGGCGAAATGATGTATTTGATTTATGATATATGATACTTTCCGAAGGGCAGGTGCTTGCGAGTCTATTTTAGATCTTCCGTTTGCTACTCAACGGATAGCTAGTCTTTTTTAGAGCAGTATACGGCGAGTGACCATCAGTATATCTCGTATTTAATACATTATCAGAGGGGAAAACGACCGATTATCCCGGAGCAACGAGTGACGCGTAACTAAGATGGAGACTGTTGAAACTGGATGAGAGTGCCTTCCAAAAGGCAATCTCGGAAAAAATCGATACTCTTCCGAACGTTTCCGCCGAGTCACGCAAAGATGTAGAGATGCTCGTCGGTCGTACGATGGAAAGCATCGTCACAGGGTGCGACGCCGCTATGCCTCATCAGACCGCAAGTTAACGTAGAAAACTGGTTTACCAGTGGACTTCGGAGATTGCGATTCTTAGGATTAAATGTCTGCGTCTTAGGAGACAGTCACTTAGGTTGCGAAAGCGAGATACTGGGCAGCAAAAGAATGACGATTACGAAGCGGCAAAGAAGCGACTCGTTAATGCGGTCAAGGTGAGCAAAGAGAGATGCAGGAAAGCGGTCTGTAAAGAAGTAGATGACGATCTATGGGGAAACGGCTACCGGATTGTCACAAAAAATTTTTGGGGCCGCAGTTCATTAGCTTCCATGGAACCTGATAGCATGGAATAAATAATCAGAACTTTGTTTCCCGAACGTGAAGACCAGATTTGCACCCAGAGTGCGGTATCCAATGACGAGTGTCCACTTTTCTCAGTAGTCGAGTTGCGGGAAGTTGTTAAATCTCTCAACGTAGATAAGGTTCCGGGCCCTGATGGCATCCCCGTCAAGTTCTATAGGGTCATAATGAAAAGGCATGAAAATCTGCTCCTTGACACAACGCCTGCATCTCGGCGGGAGTTTTTCCTTAAAGATGAAAGTTGCAAAGGTAGGTCCTGTTAGAAAAGGGCCGCCCTACATGCCTTCATTATACAGGCCACTTTGTATGCTAGACTTAGCAGGAAACATTTTCGAGAGCCTAATAAGGATCGACTGAGGGAAGAAGTGGCCGATGCGGGTGGTCTGGGTGATAACAAACACGGTTTAGGACCGGGTCGCAGTACAATTGGTGCCTTTTCTGAAGCGCTTTCATTAGCTAGGGCTGCCTGGTCGGGCAACCGGAGGTCCCGTCCCGTGTCAGATCAATGATGACATTTGACGTCAAAAATACATTAAATTCCGCAAAATGGACAGACAGTGTGAAATGGCTTCAAAAATCAGGTGTTTCTGAGTATCTCATCTGCATCGTAAGTGATTACCTATGTCATCGTTTTTTGATATGTGAAACAATTATGGGAGAGATCATGAAAGAGCTCAAGATCAATCAACCAATCAAGATCAATGAAGAGCTTTGGATCATCCTTTAAGATGCACTTCTACGTCTCGACCTAGCGACTAAGGTACTACTGGAGGAATTCGCTGACGACGTGGCGGCGTTAATCCTTGCAAGGAGCCATGGCGAAGCACAGGGATTGGCGAGACTTGTCTTGACCAAAATAAGTGCGTGGTAAATGAACACGGTATGTCGTTAGCCATAGCGAAGGTCGGTAACGGAGGTCGTGGTACTCACAGCTCAGAAGCGGTTTCCGAGTCCATTCCAGGCTCTCGTCGTGGATTAACACATCCAGAGACGGGAGTCTCTGAAATACCTCGGAGTGACGATCGACTCGAAACTAACGTTTCGGGAACAGATTGTCAGTGTAGCCACAAAAGCAGCGAAGACGGTGTCGAGTCTTTCTCGGTTAATACCAAATATCACGGGAACAGAGAACAGCCGCAGACGAGTTCTCATGAGTGTCATAAACTCAATCATGCTCTACGAAGTAGAGGTCTGGGGAGACGCACTTCAAATAGAAAAAAAAAAACAAAAAAAAATGGAAGCGACTTGCGTCATTACAACGTAGGGGTGCACTAAGGACAGCTTGTACCTATCGAACGGTATAGGAAGCAGCAGTGTTGGTCATCTCAGGTACAATCGACGACCTTTTGGGATTCGAGAAGAGACGTATCTGGGATGCTCGGCGGGTTAGCGAAGAACCTTGAGAAATTGATTGAAGAAATTGATGAACGTAAGGACTCGAGAACGCGAGTAAACTTTTGAGCTCTCGCACGGGCGCTGGGAATCCGGAGTGGCTGGGCGTTGGACTCATAGGCTTATCGGACGAGTCCGAGACTGGTCCTTACGGGAATATGGAGAGGTAGACTACTACCTCACACAATTCCTTACTGGACACGGACAGTTCAATGCCTACTTACATCGTATGGCAATCCGAAACGTTCCTGATTGCGTGTACTGTCCGAGCATTGTCGAGTCGGTCAAGCACACCTTTTTTGACTGTCAGCGCTGGTCTGAAACACGGCTACGATGGCAGAACGAGAAGAGGGTGCCGCAGAGGCCGAAAGAGGTCATTCCTTGGATGTTGGCATCAAATCACAACTGGACAGCGATGACAGGGAGGTCCTGCTGATAAAGAAAACTAAAGAAAAAGAAAATGAAATGGAAGACGAGTCGCATTAAAAAGCGGTGAGGAGGAGTACCAGCACCATGAAATAATGCTAACGCAGTCCCGTGGTCCTAGGTACTTAAGAGAGAGGAGGTTTAGTGGGTAAAATCCCACACTACCGATCTTACAACAACTTGACCAGTACCTTTTTGAAGATTTCCTCCTCTCTCTAATCAAAAAAATAAATATAATAATAATAAAGAAAATCGGGCTGTCGTGCGGGCTCTTAACCCAATGCTGGTGACTTATTTGGAAGCCAGCCGGGACCTTTGCGAGACGGAGTCAATTCTTTTTGGCGCCGCACTGGCAGTATGCCGTATTATTGGCGCCAAACTTCCCATGCCTGAACGTGCTACTCAACAAAGTAGAGCCGTCCCAGCCTGGAGAAAAAGAATCGAGGACCGTATCGCAAAGGCAAGGACCCTAATCTGCAGACTGACAAGCTTCAGTTCGGGTAATAAAGGTCCGGGGCTCGACGGGCTGCATCATTACTGGCTGAAGGGGTTCGTAGTGTGTCACGCTATGCTCGCCCGACAGTTTCAAGAGGCTCTCGATCAGAAGTCGCTCCCGAGCCTCTTCACTACTGGGATCACTCACTTGGTTCCTAAAGATCAGGATACCACAGACCCGAGCAAATAGCGCCCCATCACGTGTCTACCCACCATATATAAGACACTGAGATCCATTTTGACCGCGAGAATCACTCGTAACCTGGAGCTAAATCAGGTGATGTCACGCGCTCAAAATGGATGTCGGGGCGGTGGTTGTGGAACCAAGGAACCACTCCTCATTGACGCAGTCATTGGCAAAGTGGTGAAACGCAACCGTCGGAACTTCTCCGCCGCCGGGATAGACTACAGAAAGGCATTCGATTCGGTGCCCATACATTGCTAAAGGGAGTCCTCCTACTGTACAAGATTGACTGTACAGTTGGAGACTTCCTCGAGCAGTGTATGGGGCAGTGGAGTACGATCCTTTATTATCTGCACGAGCGGATGATGGCTGCGGAGAACCACATAACGATAAGAAGGGGTATCTTCCAGGGCGATTGTCTGAGTCCAATCTGGTTTTGCCTCGCTCTGAACTCTCTCAGTACTTTACTAGAGGGCTCCAGGAGGGGATTTAGCTTCGGAAAGTAGGTGTGACCCACCTTTTCTATGTGGATGACCTCAAGTTATTCGCCTCCAGTCGCTGTCATCTTATGGAATTGCTAAACATCACTTGTGAATATAGCAATTCTATTGGAATGGAGCTGGGGACGGATAAGTGTGCGGTCCTCCATGTTGAAAGGGGAAGGGTTGCTAACTCGGAGGGCATAGACTTATCTATGCCCGTCAACTTAAGGACCCTTTCCGAGGCTGAAACATACCGATACCTGGGTATGTCACAGAACATCGGTATCGATGAGGCTGGTATGAAACAGTCAGTTTGCGAAGTGTTTTATGCACGCTTGACCAAAGTGCTTAACAGCCTTTTGTCCGGTGTGAATAAGAGACACGCATATAACGGCTGGGTCATGCCTGTCCTCATGTATACCTTTCGCATACTCAGGTGGACTCAGACTGAACTTAACGCCCTGGATAGAAAAGTCCGCACGTCCCATAGGATGCATCATCCGAGATCGTCGGTAATGAGGCCGTACTTGCCGCGAAAGCATGGTGGACATGGCTTTCCTCCCAGCTCCTCCATGATTACTTCCAGCAGCCTCCATGATTACTTCCTTGCGAGATCGGATGATCCATTCTATAATGACGTCATTTCTAGTGATAAACCCCTCTATCCTTAGCCAATGAGCAATTGCAGGACCCAGCAGTGCTTAGCATTTCCGACCGGGAGACCGTATGGAAGGAGATGGAGCTCCACGGGAGGAACCACAGGGCTCTACATGAGCCCTTAGTAGATGCAGTTGCCTCCTTCAACCTGCTACGTTTCGGTGAGCTCTTCGGGGAAACCGAGGGTTTTGTCTGTGTAATACAGGATCAGGTTATTAAGACCAACAACTATCGGAGATACATCCTAAAGGATGGCACCATCGACATTTGTCGAGCTTGTCGCCATCCCGGTGAGTCACTTAGGCATGTCATCTCCGGTTGCCTTTCTAACTCTAAGTACTTGCACAGGCACAACCTAGTAGCCAGAATTCTTCACCAGGAGCTCGCTCTGAAATACGGTCTCGTGGATCGGAAATTGCCGTATTACAAGTACTTGCCGGAAGCCGTGCTCGAAAATGATCGCACCAGGCTCTATTGGGACAGGCCCTCATCACAGACAGGACTATTCTTGCGAATAAGCCTGACATTGTGCTGATGAATTGGGCACAGTCAAGGATATTTTTGGTCGACATTACCATTCCGTATGACGAGAACCTCGTGAAAGCCGAAACAGATAAGCAATCAAAATATCTGCACCTGGCTCACGAGGTGACCGACATGTGGGGTGGTCTGCCGACCGAAATTATTCCTGTAGTCGTGTCTGCAAACGGGTTAATCCCAGCCAGCCTCAGAGTGAATTCATAGCGCCAGTTGCACAATTAAGTCTGAAGGTTTGTAAAAGCTGACTTCAACTAATAATAAGAAAATAATTTCATAATTCGAAGTAGGGGCTTTAATTATTCTATGTACAGTATGCCTTAGCACCGACTTCAGAGTGTGAAATTAATTAATTCATTTAAGTGATTTGAAGTTAGCTTTGCCAAGCGGTTTAAGTAATAGAGCCATGCAGCAGCTATATTACGGTTGTAGCACGAAGCAGTCGGCTCGACCGGGGAAAAACAACTCTCTTACAGAATACTAGCGTAAAATAGCAGCATAAAATATTATATTTTTATATGTGTTATACATACTAATATATAAACTGTTGTGGAGATAATTTTTACTGGAAGCGAAATATTCTATCTTAGTTCTCAAAAGTAGCAGCGCATCGGTATTTTGATACTTAATTGAGGATATATGTAGATGTCTATGGGTCACAGCGACCACTTACCATCAGGTGGAGTGTGTGCTCGTTCGTCTCCCTATCTTATAAAAAACATCAAGTAGTAGATCCCATAGAAAGTGCGTTCGGCAATCAGCAGAACACCGCGTATCCCATGGATGTCATACGAGGCGACTATAATATAATTATGCCAAAAATAATTTTTAGCTTCCAATAGATGGTAGTATAACCGTCTCGTTAACGACATACATAAATTTCCAGACCGGCGACGAGAATTAGCGTCAAATGTATGAGATGTCTAGCGTGACGATTAAGGGTAAGGATTAAAATCCCTTATTACTTATTACGAGGATTAAGGTCCCTCTCAATGGGAGAAGTCCGGTTATCGCAATAGGCTTTTACAAACTGATGAAGAATAAAAAGGAAATAAAAACCCACACGTTATTGAAACCAAACACAAGTGCACAGCAAGCTGCGTAAAATTTTGAACACTCTGATTTTTGCGTGTATATATGCCGAGGAATATGGTACTTCTAGAACCTTATACCGACCGAACCGATCGAAAATATTGCATTTTATACTAGGAATTAGAAAAATCTCGTTTACTAATTCCTGGTATAAAAATGCAATATTTTAGCATCATTTTTTACGGCTCCGTGGCGCAGTGGATTAGCAATGAGTTGCAGCGCTAAGGGCCGCGGGTTCAAGTCCCACACGGAACATCCATTTGTCATGCCCATGACATGTTTGGCCCACGTCACGTAGTAGGCTTTCACAGACTGATGAAGAATAAGAACGAGAGTAATAGAGTAAGACAACTTTATTCAATATCGATTACAAGAATGCCTATTGAAAGTTATTCATACATTTTAAGCTGTTAAAATTAATTAGCTAATGCTGACTGTACACCCTCCTCGAGGTACGAGGTAAGTGCAACGCCATAACAATACCCATGAACAACTGTGTTCAACGTCAGTGGAATAGTAGGTGCGTTGCCGACCATATATGACAATAAAAGAGAATAAGGATTAAAAGAAGAATAAGAATTTTTATAGCTTATGGGTGACAAACGAACAGACATCTATATTGATTTTCGATTAAAAATAAAAATGCAGATGCGTTGTCACCCCTGAGTACTAAGATGGAATGCCTCATATCTAGTAAAAAGGCGCTCTCTACATTTTACGCTGGTACTCTGTGAGAGCGTGGTCCTTCCACGGTAGAGCCAACCTTTTGTGCTATAACTGTAATAGAGCTGCAGCGTGACTCTACCACGCCAAAGAATATATACACTACGCGAAAAGAAACGACACTTAAGCATGTGTGCACGTAAAATCGCTTGCGGCTATGTGTGGGTGTCTGGATGTGTGCGGGGGCCTTGAGAGGCGCGCGGGGCGTGGAACGGGCAGTCGCCGACTGCCCTGGCCGAGGGCTAGTAGTAATACCGATATTTGTCAGTATTAGTTAATATGAATATATTCGTCAAGTGATATAATATTTCAATTAATATATGAATATTACTAATATCTTTATGTACATATTACTATTCTATTCATGTAGGTATTAAGTTTATGTTACCAAGTAACTTTATTAGTTTTTATAGCCGTGTATGCTAGGTTTATATGCTTTGATAAATATTAATGTTGTTATTAAATATATGATATTATAGTATATGTATAAGTATTACGAAAGTGATTTTAAGTGATTAGAATTAAAATAAATTCCACTGCACAAAACAAGGGTCCTTGTTTTGTTAGTTTAATTTTTAATAATGTTTTATGATACCTAAAATATGTGAACTCATTTTAATGAAAGTCGATATGATTTTAACAAGAATTATGGGGAAATACCATGACAAAAAAAATAATATATCGCCGATAATTTTATTATATTATATTAACTGAAATATACACTATTAAAAATACCACTAGAGAGTCAAGAAATTTTAGACATCTATAAAGAGTTTTTGTATTTGTTCATTGTTGTATTTATGGATTATTTCATTAGAAATAGAAATGACTTATCTCATCAACACATAGGGAACAATTTGTTGGCCGCAATGTCCCAGGAAACCTGCATTCCTTTGGATTTTCTAAAAAAACTGATTATTGCGTACTGAAATACTAAGTGTAGGTTAATTATTTAAGATTATCATGAACTGTCGTGCATATTTGGTTTTGTCGGAAGTTTTAATATTCCTCATTTAATAAAAGTTGATTTAAAATTGAACGTATCTTTCGCTACCCAAATACATAAGTTTACATAATATATAACACATACCTAATATGTATCTTCTTTGGTACAAGTCTATAATATTCCATTTCGGTTTGATATCAACCCTAGCGTTACACGCTTCGACTCAAGGTCACCGGCGCTTAAGCTCTCACGTACAGGGAGTGTCACCGCTGTGACCACGCTCTTCTATTAAATACAAATATAGTTATAAGTTCCAAAATTACTAATTATATTAGTGTTGCATCATGATATGCAGTGTAGCCGTTTGCTTACATACTTAATTTGTTATAAGGTAATTACGTACATATATGTATTACGGTACGATTGAATTGTAACTGCGTTACACTGAATACGTAGCGCGGTACGCCGTTTTATTGCTGATAAGGATTAATTGCGTAATCAGGAGAGCAAATTGAACATACGTTTTCACCCTATTGCTATTATTAACAATAACCTCTTAATGTATTTCC